CGAGGAAGAACAAGAAGCCTCAATTAACCATATGCAAATTTTCACAGAGAAGAAGCAGCATTTTGCTCTTAGTTTGTACAGGAGAAAGCCAATGAGAGCAAACGGTGTCCTTGAAAACGGCACAACATCATCGCTTCAAGTATTACCTTTATAACATCAGCCGAACCATTTCGTGAATGCTATGTTGGAGTACACATACGAGGAACTGGCAGATATTCACCTCACATACGGTGGCACATACTCTCAACCAGTTGGCGTGGCGAGTTTTACTGCACCCCTACCACGTGCAAAAAGTGCAAATGTGTTTTGGACACAGATGAACAGATAATCATTCTTGCCGGGCAGACATAATGCAATGGATGCTTGAAAAGAGGACTAACGATTCACGATTTCCTGCATTAATATTACTTCGTGATCAGGCAACGTTTAGCAGAGAAGGCATTTTCAACGTGCACAATTAACACATTTGGTCTGATAGCACTACCCCTCATAAACACCAGCAGAAACGTCTGGGCAGGTATCCTAGGTGATTACCTGCTAGACCTTTATATCATGTCAGACCGTTTGACCGCCGCAACATACCGTATCGTCATGGAGCAAGTACTTCCCAATTTATTGCCCATTCAGAGACACATGTGGTTTTTGCACGATGGAGCCCCAGCACATATTTCCGCCACGATCCGTAACATTTTAAATGCCACATATCCCGCACGATAGATCGCATGTGGCGGGCCTGTGGCCTGGCCTCCTCTCTTGCCGGACCTCAACCCACAGGACTTTTTCTTATGCGACACATGAAATCTTTAATGTAGGAAACACCTGTGGACTCAGCTGAAGAGCTCGTGGCGAGAATCGTTGTTGCCGTGGACAAAATTAACAAGATGCCAGGAATCTTCAAAAGGGCGCTCCAGTCATTCCTTCACTAAACAATAAATCTGATTACTCAACTTTTGGTCTCGTTCATTAGCTTTCCCAACACTCTTGTAAGTTCAGGTTGGAATTTTAATTTTGCTCTTTACTGCCTTTCAGACTGGAATGCAACCCTATGTTCTATGGTAATTATTGATCGTCTGGATGTGTACTATCACCCTTCTTAGTTTGTAGGAACAATTTAAAATCACCCTGTATATATGAGTTTGGTTCGGCAGATTGCAACCAAAATAGAAGGTGCTCAACTATATGTTACAGCAGTCCCATATACAAAATTTCAATGATTTCGTTTTTGAGTTATGCGAGATATGTCTGTGTACCATTTTAAATCCATTTCACAGTCTGTTTTGAAAAAGGAGTCCTTTATTCTATCCGTACGTAGAGATGGCACTCAAAAACATCGTTCAAATCGATTTGAGAGCGGTCAAAAAGGAATATTTGCGTCGAAATATGATACTCGAAATTTCTCGCGATTACAATACTTTCTTTACTTCGTACAAGGATAACATCAGGATAAAAACGGACCGATTAATAGTGAAATCTGCTCAATCATGTAATTTATGTGGTTGCAGGCGTAATTATTTATGATTTCTGGTAGTTCAAATACGAGATCTGTAGATAAAATAATGAGACTTTTCCTAGGATTACTTTTATGTATATTTAAAACACAAACCACTCATATCTCCTTTACAGTTGTTTGCTTGGGAAGCTAACATCGCCTGCGATTATGATTGCGATAGTCGTGTCAGTCTTGGAACTCAGAAATTGAGATGTCTTCAGCTGGTCGATGACGTCTTCTTTTAATGTCGTCTATGTTTCTAAAATACCCCTTCAAACGGGTGTTCGGCCCACCAGCGGGCCAGCCTGTAATGTCGCTGAACACTGGTACTTCGGTCCGGGTCTCGAATTCCCGCGAACGGGCTGGCTGCTTGGACGTTTTCAGTTTTCTCCGTGTGTAACATGGAAACAACCTAATTTCGTTTACAAAGTCTTTCAGGAAGGCATCCCTTCCTCTTACACATTCGTGACCCATGACGTGAATTCACGTCATTGCAAATTCATTTCCTGCTTACCGCTGACGTGATTTCACGTCACTTCAAAATCTGTTCCTGGTTGTCACTTACGTGAATTTACGTCCTGCTTTATAATTAAATGCCAGAAACACGAAGACCACGACATGGTCCAGTAAAATAACAAAGTACGAAATAGTAGTTAGAGACTTGTCTGAGGCAAGTACTGGATATGACAGCAACTTTCAGGTGTATTGTGGAAAAGGAGACAATTTAGAAAAATTATTTTACTCCTTTTAAATAAAAACGGAAACTTTCGGCACCATGCATGCATGGATAATTATTATAATAGTATTACATTAGCTGAAAACTTACTTACATTAGCTGAAGTCGTATTTGTAGTACTGCGTAGGAATAAGACTTTTCCAGAGGAACTAAATGATCGTATTAAAAATAGGTGAATTTGATTTTCAGCACGAAGGTGAAGTACTAATTTTCAGATAAAAAGATAAACAAAATGTTCGACTGATATCTACCATACACAATGCCGATATCGTCGAGACTGGAAACATAAATAAATAAACTGGACAGGAAGTTCGTAAGTCTGAGTAGGTAATGAAATAATGAAATATGAAATATGAAAATTAATGCATTATGAAATACATTCAACATATGAAAGGTGTTCATCTTGTCTATGAAAGGTGTTCATCACTGTCTTTCATATTATTCATTTTTATGAAAATCTATCAAAGGGACAAAAAGAGTTTTCATGTTTCTTTTGCATTGCATACTCTTCAGTTCATTTATTTTGTATAAGATCAATCCAAGTGTCAAAATAACTTTTCCGTAATTCTCACAAACTTTGGCAGAAGAATAGATTGCTTCTGCTACTGGGCATCTCGAAAATCTACCAAATAGTAGCTCAACAGCAGTAGACCGAGCACCTCACCATGATTCTCTTTATAGGCTTTCATCTGACCAGTTAGAAAGAATCGCACAGTCTGAAAAATCAAAGTATCCACAAAAACGTAATATGCAAAACTCGTGGAAAATGTCATGCTACTTATGCAAATATGATATGCAAATTATGTTGCGTTTCCTTACGCAAAAGCCATTGTTTTTCGATTTATCATACTAAACAGAAATATGAAATTTTATTTTTCATCTTTGTAATAGTAAAATACATGTAATATAATACTAAATAAACTAAGTAGAATAATCAGTGGTTTATAATTTTATTTTAAAAGCTGTACACAGATTATGAGAATCTTTTTATTTTAAAGTAGCCGCTACGCGGCCAGCCTTCGTCTGGCTTTGAAATGTACCGGAAAAATGCCTAAAAGAAACTCCAAACATTAAGTTTAAAACTGCACTTATCTGCTACATTTTACATTTTTAAGTAACTCTCAGCACATTCAGATTTTAATGCCAAAAGTATTTCTGTGTGTAACGCTTTCTTACGCACTTGATTCTGTAGTGTTTTCCCCCGTGCTCCTTATGCGCACTGCTTTAGTAATATCTCATTTTAGTTATTATTAAGCTGACCGTATTTTTCTCTGTGTTTCCCTGCGGTTTCACTCGCTATAGCATCGCACTCAGCGACCCTTGATACTCAGTTTGTACTTATTACTCTGTGACTCCTTTATGTGCCTACGACCCCACTGTTTATTTCCCGTTATATTGTACCAATGGCCAATGCTAACGCAAAGGCCCTGCCTCATCCTCCTCCTCAGTAGTGTCAGAATCAGCATCGCGGGCATCTCCAACTTACTTATATGAAATAACTTACGAGGGCAAAATTACAACTTTGATTAACGAATGCACTGCTATCGCAAAACGGAAAAGAAGTGGAAAATTTGTTATTCCTCAGGACGAGAGAGTACGACTTCTGTCTACTCTTGAGGCACTCAAGAGTCTGGCACTCCACGGGTCAGATTGCACAGTTCAGTCGATTTTCGCTGACGCTGGAACGAACACGATTAAAGAACCAGCTGTGCACGTGGCAACTAACACCGACGACAGGAGCGCCCTGGACACTTCAACAGCTTTTCCCGTTCCTTGTCCTCAGTACATACAACCGAAAACCTTTGCAGACGTATTACGAGAGTCTAGCAAGCCAAGTTTAATTATACAGCCGAAGGGCAATATCTCTCAAGCAGACTTGAAAAAGGAACTTCAAGAGAAAGCTCCGATTTCGAAAACTTCAGGTGACAGTTGCCAGAAGAATATTGCCTACCAAAAAAGGAGGGCTAGAGGTCTTCTGCAAATCCACAGAGGATGTCAACAGGCTCGAGAAAAACACCTGGAACATGCAAATGTACATGCCGAACTACATAGAAGGCAAGAGAAGAAAACCACGATGTGCCATTCACAACGTACCAGAGTCAGTCACGCCAGAGGATATTATCGCTGAACTCAGCAGCGCAGCAAACGTCTCAGCACAATTAACAATGCAATTAGAGCACTCTTTAAGCTCAAGGAGAGAAGGTCTAACAGACTTAAGTGGATCCTTGAATGTGAGCCTTCCAGTTTTGCTGCCATCATTAGAGTCAAAAAGGTGTTCACGGGGTGTGAATGTGCACACCATCTCAGAATACCTCGGAATACGACGCTGTTTCAAATGTCAACAGCTGGGACATACCCAAGATGTCTGTAAAAGCAAAAGTAGCTACTGCTCCTTCTGCGGAGACAACCATAGTGTACGAGAATGTCACTCACAGCACCCTATCTGCATCAACTGCAGTGACTCAAATCACAGACACGGCTCCAAATATGATTTCAGGCATCCTGCCTACTCACCGCAATGTCCGGAATACCAACGAGCTGCAAGTTACATCCGTAACATCACACGGCATACTAATGGGCCAGGCCGAGTACCCATTCCTGATGAAGAAACCGTTTTTACCTCAATCAAGTTATGATACGCTCCAAAACTCCCACACTGCTGCACTGAGCAACAGGAACCTGAATGAGCTGACGACGGATATTGCTGGTGTCAAATTTGTGCAAATAAACTTGCAAATAGCACGAGCAGCAACGTCTTAACTCACATAATTCGTAATGGAGCATGAAATTGACTTCATACTCATTCAGGAATCATATCAGCATGGCAATAAAGTCATCAGCTTCCCACTTTCGTGGACAGTAGTCAATGCTACTGACGAACCCAGAGTCGCCACCATTTGCTGCCGCCAAATATGGTCTCCTAATATAATCAGATGTTCAAGAGACATAATCGCTATAGCAATTGAAACAATAGGACTGAATCTACTAATTACTAACGTTTATATCCCCCCTACAGCAGACGTGCCTCCTCACTTGATCAGCAACAAGAAATCCTGAAAGCGTATCCAAAAGCACACCATCTACTAGCGGGCGATTTCAACGCCCACTCGGAACTGTGGGGTTACTCAGATACTGACGCTCGAGGACGACAGGTAGAGGACTTCATTGCCTGTAACGATCTCGTCCTGCATAATGTTCCAGGCAGTCAACCCACATATGAAACAATTCACGGACAGGGTTGGCCAGATTTAACTTTAACAACAGCGGCCTTTGCATCAAAATTGCATTCCTGGATGGTTGATGATACCCCGTCTAACTCGACCATAAATACATTACGTACAGCATAGGACACCATAATAAAAAATTCTCAATCAAGAGGTACAAACTCAAGCGAAGGACGCTAAAGCTCTTCAGCCAAAAGGCCCGCAGTACACTCACACGTGCAGAACAAGATTTAGAACACTGCCACAATACAGATGATGTTGATAACTTCACTAGTATCCTAATTAAAGAGCTTCAGGCCATTTGTGATTCGACTTTCCAGATCAAATCTCCAAAGGTACACTATGTTGCCAACTGGTGGACTAAAAGCCTCAGGATACAAAGGAGTAAGACCCGAGCTCTTCGCAGAAAGATGAAGTCGGAGCATAAATCAGAACGCCGAGAAGAACTAAGTATTATCTACAAAAAAGCACAAGCCCAGTATAAAAAGGCCATTCTAGAAGCCAAGCTGTACAGCTGGAGGGCGTTTTGCACAAACAATAAAAATCCCTATGGGGTATTGCATAAAATCGCAACGAATAAGGTCTTTGCCCCTCCAATTCACAAGGTCTACGTAGACGGCACCAATAATCCGCAACCGACAGAGGAGCACAGGAGCACTATTGCGGCAACACTCACCAAGATTCTTGATGCAGTCTTTCAAGACGACAATACATTGGATGCTTCCAATCCAGAACATCCAGCTTATCTTCTACACTCCACAACAGAAGATGACGTGTCATTCACGCAGCCTGAAGTCTGCGCTGTTTTGCGAAATCTACCGAGGAACAAAGCCCCAGGGCCCGATTCGTTGGACTACAACATTGTCAAGGCGATGCATCAGGCAAAACCAACGTTTCTTAAAAATTTTTACAATAAATTGCTCCAACTGCGTTATTTTCCCAAGCCCTTTAAGACAGGGCAAAGTTATTCTTTTCCAAAAGAAAGAAAAGGACCCCGAACGATCCGGCCTCATTCCGGCCCATCTGTCTCCTGCCCGCCATAGGGAAAATTTATGAGAAACTTTTAGTTCAGAGAATAAAGCACTACTTGGAGATTAAGGGTGAGATCACGGACTCTCAGTATGGTTTTTCGAGAGCAGCGCTCAACTATCCAAGCTCTTAGTGCCATACAAAAGGGAATCTATGACGCGTATGACTCTAACAACCATGTAGCCGTACTCAGTCTGGATCTGAAAAGTGCGTTCGATTCCCTGTGGTGGCCAGCAATCCTGGAAGCACTTCACGACGCTCAGATCCCTGATAATCTGCTGCAAGTGTGCAAAAGTTATCTCTCTGATCGCACTCTTGTAGCAGTGCATGACGGAGGAGTTGTTGAGAGAAAGCAGACCAGGGGCTTGCCCTCAGGGTTCATGTGCAGGTCCTGACCTATGGAATGCAACTTTTAATTCCATTCTCAAAGCACTGTGGCCAACCCACACAAAGGTGATTGCTTTTGCTGATGACGCGACATTTATCATCAGAGGCAAATCGAGAGACCAGCTGGAAATGGAAAGTAACAGTAATGAGACCATAGCACAATTTGTACGGCTCTGTGAAGGCAAGAAACTCACCATCTCGGAGCAAAAGTCAAAGTATTTGATCGTACACAAACCAGGTCAAACTCTTGCAAGAAATCCAGTTTTGAAACTAAAGGGCCGTACAATCAAACGAACTCGGGAACTAAAACTGCTGGGGCTTATAATCGATGAAAAGCTCTCCTGGCTGCCTCATCTCAGAGCAGTCCGCGCGAGGACACACGCAATTGCAAATACCTTAAGGAGGCTTCAAGGCTCAGACTGGGGCCTTAGACCACATATCCTAAAAATCCTCTATCAGTCCGTCGTGGAAAAAAATGGCCCTCTATGGAGCGGCAATCTGGGCAACTCCAATGAACGAAAGGAAAAGGAAATTGCTCAGTAGTATACAACGCCCCTTGGCTCTGGCTATTACAAAAGGATACCGTACAACATCGACAGCGGCAGCCACAATACTGGCGGGACTTTTGCCATTACATATTAGAGCAGCACAAGAAGCAGCAGTAACGACTGTTCTCCAATTACATCTCTGCACTACTTTTGGACCGCTATGCTATGATCCAGAGGAGTATGAAACAAAACGTCTCATAAATGCAACCCATCCTTCACACCATGGAAAAGGGGTTGTAGCACACACCACCTCTCAGCACAGCCTCCATGAAAAAATAAGGCCAGTAAATGTCATCCATTCGTCTAACTACGGAAAAGGAGTCTCGGCCCACACATCATGGAAAGATGACTCTGACATAAAGGATCAATATTATGTTTATACGGATGGTTCAAAAGTTGACGGACAAGTAGGCTGTGGCCTTATAGTAACTAAGAACAAGGAAACGCTGATAACATGGAAAGGTCATATGGGACAGAATAATTCAGTTTTCCAGGCTGAAGCAATTGCGATTCGCAAAGCTATCGAGTTAACAAGCCCCCCAGTAGGATCCACTATTAATATTCTTACAGACAGCCTCTCGGTCATATATGCCTTACGAAATCCCAGACATCCTTCTCCTATCATAGCGGAGATTCAGGACACGCTGAAGGAGCGTTCGTCGACAATGAATATCCTCATATCTTGGATAAAGGCACATGCCGGCATTCAAGGTAATGAGGAAGCCGACAGGCTAGCAAAAGAAGCAGCTCACAATATCGATGCACAATGCGTAATTACCAAACTCCCGTGGTCTCACCTTAAAAAAGTGACAAGGACAGCAGCTCAGCACCAGTGGCAATGGGAATGGGACTCTACCGAACAAAGCAGGAAGACCTATGAATATTACCATAAAGTTTCGCTCGATCGTCTCGAGTCATCCCCACAAATAACGAGATTTGTGACGGGGCACGGGCCTTTCCCCTCCTATTACTATGAGAGAGGAATTGCAAATACCGAAAGTTGTGTCTGTGGAGGCATTGGTAAACCAGACCATTACTTGACCCAATGCCCTCTAACCGCACAGTGGCATGTGCAGCTTCCGGAACAGGCAACTTCTCATAAGCGTTATCTGATCAAACAGCCAGCATTTCGCATCAAAATATGCAAGATAATGCAGAAACTGGAGGAATTGGGAACAGATTTG